GAATCAAAAAAGAAAGAGAATCTAACTTTTAACATTTGTTATTCTAGTGAACCCTTGCTGTTTTCTATTGATCCCAGATTTCTCTTAATTGCTCAAGTGCCATGAGTTACCAGTCTCTGGAATTGCCTTAAATCTTATTTCTAGCTTAAGAAACCTTTCTCCTTCATTTGTGACAGTTTGCCTTTTGGCCCTTCCTCCCTTTAATGAGAGAAATGACCTTCTGGTATCTTTCCGGTTCTCTGTGTCTTCTCAGCAATTACATATTTTTTTTAAGTTTTTAAAATTTTTTTTACTAATTTTAGGAATTGTTACTCTTGTATACCATCGAGTCGGAACTGACCCATAGCTAACCCTCTGGTGTGTCTCTGAGGCAATTAATTGCCTAGGAGAAGATTGCCCATCTTTCCACAGAGCAGCTGATGGATTCCTTTCGGATTGCAGTGCAGTTTCTTACCACTAGGCTACCAGAGCTCCCTGTTTTTAGGAATGCTGGAGTTAAATTTTCTGAATCTAGAGAAGAGATTCCCTTCACCCCTCATTGACCACCTTCTGTCTTTGACCAACTGGTTTAATTGACATAGCTTTTTCACTTTTCACCATATCCTCTGCTTGGCTCTTACCTTTTATTTTATCAGCCTGGTGATATTGCAGCCATGAATCCACACACTGGGTCTTTACCTCACTCAAATGATGCTTAGTACTAAATGGTGAAAATCATGGTACTATTGATTGAACATACCATGACCACCAAGAAAACAAATAGGTCTGTCTTGGAGAGGGCGAAACCAAGTTTCTCTTGGAGGCTAGGATTTGAAGCTCCATCATACATACTTGGGAACATGGCAAGGAGGGACTAAAGACATGATGCTCAGAAGGGTGGAGGGGCAGCACTGGAGAGGAAGACCCCGTTTAAGATGGCTTGATACAGTAACCGGGGCAATGGGGTAGGTATGTCGGAATTAGTGAGACCGGCCCAGAACAGCGCAGGAGGCTTCAGAGCTGCTGTACATAAGGTCTCTATGAGTTGCAGGTGACTTAATGACATATAACAACAACATTCATTGCCTTTAGCTTTAGCTGTACCCTCAGTTATTGATAGAGTTCTTCTGTTTCCCTTGTTACTCATTATTTAGTTTCTCTACTGTAATATTTATAAATCTTAGCTGAAAGCAGGGAATATCAGAAGAATGTCTATCTGTGTTTCATTGATTATGCAAAGGCGTTTGACTGTGTGGATCATAACAAACTGTGGTTGACTCTGAGAAAAATGGGAATCCCAGAACATTTAATCGTGCTAATGTGAAACCTATACTTGGACCAAGAGGCAGTCGTCAGAACAGAGCAGAGTAACACTTGCATGGTTTAAAATTGAGAAGGGTTTCATAACAGGCATGCAAGGATGGTTCAGCATAAGGAAAACAATTAATGTAATTCATCACATCAACAAGGCAAAGAACAAGAACCATATGGTCCTATCAATTGATGCAGAAAAAGCCTTTGATAAAATGCAACACCCTTTCCTGATTAAAGCACTCAACAAAATAGGATTAGAGGGGAATTTCTCCAACATAGTAAAAAGTATCTATGAAAACCCAAGAGCCAACATTGTTCTTAATGGAGAGAGGTTAAAGGCATTCCCTTTAAGAACAGGAACTAGGCAAGGATGCCCACTATCACCTCTTTTATTCAATATTGTTTTGGAAGTCTTAGCAATAGCAATAAGACAAGAGAAGGGAATAAAAGGTATCCAAATAGGCAACGAGGAGGTAAAATTATCCCTCTATGCTGATGACATGATAGTATACTTAGAAAACCCTAAAGACTCAACAAGAAGACTATTGGACGTAGTTGACCAATTCAGCAAAGTAGCAGGATACAAGATCAACATACAAAAATCAGTTGGATTTCTCTACAGCGACAAAAAGAATACAGAGCCAGAACTAAGAGAAACAATACCTTTCACAGTAGCTAATCACAAGATTAAATACTTGGGAATAAATGTAACCAGAAGTACAAAGGACCTTTTCCAAGAAAATTACAAAACATTACTACAAGAAACAAAAAGAGATCTTGAAAAGTGGAAGAATATCCCTTGCTCATGGATAGGAAGACTCAATGTTGTGAAAATGGCAATACTACCAAAAGCAATTTACACATTTAATGCAATCCCAATATAAATACCAATCCCATTCTTCAGCGAGATGGAAAAGGCAACATTGTTCTTAATGGAGAGAGGTTAAAGGCATTCCCTTTAAGAACAGGAACTAGGCAAGGATGCCCACTAGGGAGGACAGAAGGAGAATTGATGCCTTTGAGCTGTGGTGCTGGAGAAGAGTATTGAATGTACCCTGGACTGCCAAGAAAACAAACAGATTCAGCCTGGAGAGGGTTAAACCTGGCTGCTCCTTGGAGGCAAGGATTCTGAGGCTCCATCTAACATACTTTGGACATGTTGTAAGGAGAGACAGGTCCTTGGAGAAGGACATCATGCTTGGTAGGGTGGAGGGACAACCCAGGAGGGGAAGACCCTCTATGAGGTGGATTGATTCAGTGACTGGGGTGATCAGAATGGGTGTGTCGGAGACAATGCCATTGGCACAGGATAGAGCAGGGTTTAGGGCTATGAGTCGCAAACGACTCAACAGCACATAACAACACCACCATAATATTTCAGACCACCACCTGTTTTTTCTAAATTTCTGATCTGTAGTTTCCAGGTTGCTTTCAGGATAAAATCCAGACTTATCAAGATGGTGTGTGAGACCCCTTGCAGATTATCTCCTTCTCTTCTCATGATTCTCCTGCAACACTCTGCTCCAGTCAGGTTCAAAGTCTTTCTGCTTAAAGCTTTTGTATATGATATTCTCTTCCCTACTTTGACCATTGCCTTTCCTCTCCTGTCCCTGCCACACACTTGTGTATTTTTCAGTTTAGGTGTCATTTCTGCCAGAAAGCTTTCCAGCCATATTTTCCAGCCAGCTTCCCACCTCTTAGGACACCCACTGTGTCCTACCTTTGCAGTCCCATAAAATTTTGATTTGCTCCTGTTATATAGCACTGACTGCACGGAATTATATTTTTTATTATTAGCACAACATGCTGTGGATTGTGCCACCAGAGCTCCTAATTTTATAATTACAGGAAAATTCGTGGTACAAAGAGAATGCTGTAAAGTTGAATATACACTGTGGTCTTAATTCAGCTTTTCTAGAGGACAGCTTTTTTGCGCTACTTTGTAAAGCAAAATAGGCTGTGTTTGGGACAAGCTTTATTGTTGCCTCAAGTCATGAGATTTCTTTTCTATGCTTCAAATGTAGTTAACATCAGTTACAGATGGGCAGAAAGTTGAGGATTTGTTTTGTTCACTTCTATCTCAGGCTAAACAGCACACATAACTATAGTATTCTTTAGGTCAGGATGTTAAATTGTGCTCATGCCAGAAGCAATCTCAAGAATATTAATTTCTTTCCTAACGGTTTGCTACTGGTCTCATAAATAGAGGCATTCCCTGATCCTCCATTTGAAATGTGTGCTTTCAAATACATTTCTTTTTGTTTATATGAGTTTGAAATTTGTTTAGCAGGCCTTAAAAAAATAATTTTATTGTGACATAATTCACATACCATGAAATTAACCTTTTAACCATAATGAAATGGTTTTCTAATTCACAGTTTTATGTTGATCACCACTTATTCCTTATAATCAATAGACCATCCCTTTGTATGATCTCAGTTCTTTTTAAATTTATTTAGAGTTATTTTATGATGTAACATACAGACTACAGTGCAGAATGACCGTGTCACTTGAGTAAATGTTTTCTCTTGCTTTTGGATGGAGATGGAGTATTCTCTAGATGTATTTTAAGTCAATGTGGTCTGTAGTTCTGTTCAAGTCTTCTCTTGTTGATCTTGTGCTCTTGTTGGCTGTTTCTTCCTTTAGTTTTATCATCTTTTGTGTATGTATTTTTGGAACTCTGTTGTTAAAGGAGCTCAGCTCATGTAGTACATAATGTTTTGGGCCGCTAGTCCAATGTTTAGACATTCAAATCTACCAGTTGTAAAGTAGGAGAAAGATGAATAATCTCCTCCTGTAAATATTTACAGCCTCAGAGGCCCAGTGGAGGTTCACTATAAGTCAGAGTCAACTTAATGGCAGTGGATTTTTTAATTTTTGGTTTAGTTAGGTCCATATATGTTTATATGTTTTCGATTTCTCACGGACTCATCATGTCACAAAAGAGTGATTTTTAAAAAATATATTTTATGTGCTCACTTCTGCAGCACCTATACTAAAATTGGAACGATAAAGAGAAGACTAACATGGCCTCTGTGCAAGGATGACACACAAATTCATGAAGCAGTCTATATTTTTTTAAAAAATGTAAAGCATACTTTATTTAAATAATTTAAGTAAAATTAAAAGTATGAAAAAATTGTATCTCTTCAGCTTCTGTAGAAAGTATTAACAATTTATAGTACATCTGTTAAGACACATTTTAGAAATTAACACACAAATTTTATTTAATTAAAAGAAAAAAATCATAGACTTCCTCTCCATATTTCCTTTCAAATAGAGAAGTCTATCCCTTTGGGGATGTGACTTTTTAATAACTCTATCTTTACTATTTTACCCTAAAAAAAAAAAACACCTTAAAAAATCATAGTAGTTATTCAGATGTTACTCAGCTTTTGAAAAATATAAATCCCAGAGATAACCTTTTCTAACACACTTATTTTTTAAAATGAGAAGTCTGCAACAATGGAGGGACAGTAATTTGCCTAAGTTCATGTGAAGAATAGGTTACTGAAATGGTACTAGAACCCAGCTTCCTGACTGTTGTTTAGTGCTCTTTCTATTGAACTTCACTGCCTCATATCTGTCCCTGAGCAGGAGGACACTTAACACTGTGACAGCTATTTGGACTATGAATTGTCATGGGTAAGATTGTTTTGTTGTTCTGGATTCATTTTGAAGATTTTACTCTTTTTTTCTTTCTATAGCTCCTTGTAGAAATTCTTATGAGGCCTACAATCTCTATCCGTGGACAGAAACTAAAAAGTAAGTATACTTGTCAGCTGCTTGTCTTTGTTTCCCAAAGTGCTCATAAAGTGGTAGCTCTCATGAGTTGCTCTTCTTTCCACTTTTTTTTTTTAAATTTTTTATTATTTTTGTGTGCGTGTACCGTCAAATCAGATCTGACTGGTACAGGAGGAGATTGTCCCTCCTTACCCGGCAGAGCATCTATCTGGTGGATTCGAACCGTTCGCCTCTGGGCTTGTAGTTGCAGCTCCTTGCCACTAGGCCACCAGAGCTCCCCTCTTCTTTCCACTTTTAACGTCTTACATTGATGCCTTTCATTGCACACTTGACATTTGATTGCATCATGCCTTTGCTACCCTTCCAACTAAGCAGCTCTCTTTAGAGCTCTCGTTAGTCATAAGGTGAAAATACAGATCTGAAAACTACTATAGGAATTGCATCTTTTAATAGTTACTGGGTCCATCTTTCATGTCTTCCCTGGAAAAGTCTTCTTTCTTATATATAGTTTGCTCAGGGAGTAAAAAAATGGCCAAGTAAGCTGACTTTATTTAAAATTAATGAATTACACCTACTTGATTTTTGCTTGGGATCTCTGGGTGGTGCAAAAGGTTAACTGCTCAACTACCAGCTGAAGAGTTGGTGATTCAAGCCTACCTAGAGGCAGCTTGCAAGGCAGGCTGGGAATTCTGCTCTGAAAAAGATCACAACCTTGAAAATATTGTGGAGCATTTCTGCTTGCATAGTTAAGCCACCATGAGTTGAAATCAATTAGATGGCAGCTAATAAGGTTTTTCTAAATGTTGTTTTAAAGATAGTGTAAGGGTAGCTCTGGTGGCCTAGTGGCAAGAAGCTGTACTGCAAATCCTAGAGGTACATGGTTCAAATCCACCAGATGCTCTGCCGGAGAAGGAGGGACAATTACCTCCTGTACCAGTCAGATCTGATTTGACGGTACATGCACAAAAAAGAATAATAATAAAATAAAATTTAAAAAAAGATAGTGTATGTTTTTTGGTAAAATGTTTAGTCATTTTCTGTGTATATGGTAAAAAAAGATTTTGGTAGTGAATTATTTCTTAAGCTTGGTAATAAGTGTTTGGATATTATTCTGTCCTTTTATAACTTATGTGTTACAGAATTCTTTTTAGGTATTCAGGGTTTAGGGTAAATGATATAGTGTATAATATTTTGCTTATGTGTTTTGCGACTTTGAGTTAAAAGTCAGAGGTTGAATTAATACTTTTTGGATACTCTTCTGTGAACATCCTGTTTTTGTGTTTTTCGCCTAACACCAATAGCATATCATCTGTAAGACCTTGCTTGCATGTCCAAGTAGTATTTTAGAGGACTCATGCTTTTCTTTTCTTTTTTTTTTAAAATTTATTATTTTTGTGTGCGTGTACCGTCAAATGAGATCTGACTAGTACAGGAGGAGATTGTCCCTCCTTCCCCGGCAGAGCATCTGGTGGATTCGAACCGTGTGCCTCTGGGATTGTAGTTGCAGCTCCTTGCCATTAGGCCACCAGAGCTCCCCTCAAGACTCATGCTTTTCTTTGGTGTCTTAACCTTTCTATTCTGTCTAAATTGATTGGTCCTGTTCTCCCTTTCCTCATGGTAAGTAGCATCTTGTGATCACTTGGTGGTATACTGAATTTATTCTCTTTTCCTCTCACTAGACTTTTAAGCTCCAGTAGGGCCCAGCTCTCCTTTTCTTTTTTTCAACTCCCTCATCATTCTATCATCTGTGTCGGATCTTGGGTAGGTGCTAAATAAATATTTGATGAATAAATTAATCTCACTACCCTTTAAAAAGAGAATGTTTAGAAATACTAAGTAGAATCTTCTAGTGTCTCACTTTGCTCTGAAGTCATTAAATAAACAAGTCAAAACCCCCAGTATGGGGTTTTAATGTGGTAGTCATGAGGGACTTGGCAGAGTATCTGAATTTTCTCAAGATAGCTTGACAAGGCTGCCTTTTGAGATCTTAGAGGGAGATCTGGTTTTCATAGTTTATGATAACAGCAGAAGAGTGGTTGAGTTCAAGTGGAATTTATTTTTCCTTCTGTTTTCTTATTTTTGAGAGAAAGTTTATAGTTCATACTAGTTTCAGTCATTTATAAACCCTTTTTTAAAAATAATGTTGATGAGACTGGTAACTTCATCTCACATACTCTGGACATACTGTCAGGAGAGACTAGTTTTTGGAAAAAGATATCAAGCTGGAAAAGGTGGAGTGTCAGAGAAAGAGAGGAAGACCTTCCATAAGATAGATTTATAAAAAGATTAACTGTGGACTTAGCCATATCCAAGACCATGAAGAAAGTACAGGATAGGGCACAGTTCAGATCTGCTATTCATAGGGTTGCTATGCGTTGTAGTCAACCTGATGGCACTTAATAATAACAACAGTTTCATTCATATACATTTTCATAGCATTAATTATAATTTATTAATAACATTTTTTCCTTTACTGCCTTTTCCTTCACTCAACTACTTAACTGATTTTTATTCCCTTCTTTCTCCCTTTCCATTCTTCATAACTATCCTGAATTTTGTATATGAACTTTTCCTTTGCTTTTTAGAATAGTGATCTTAGACCATAATAGTCCTTTTGTGACTGACTTGACTTTGCTCCGCATAATGCCCTCTACATGCATTCATGTTATGCACTGTTTTGTTCCTCTCACGGTTTTGTGGTGTTGCTGATGTCTGTCTTTATCATTTCCTTTTCTGTGCTGAGTTAATTTTGCTTATAGCTCTTCTTGAAATTCCCATTATTCTTATTTTTTTATTGTGTAGGTCCATAATTTCCCTTTATTTCATTTTGATGGGAAAGTTTACTAATGTTTTTAGCAGCTACCTGTAAGTTACTGTTTCATTCCCAGGTCTGAAACCATTAATTTCATCTTGAAATCTACTTGACTTCCTCTCCATTTAGAAGTTCTGTAATCACACTGCTTACTTCCTCATTTTGTTTTGTTGTTGTCATCATTTGCAGACTGATACCTCTTGTTTTCTCTTTCTGGTCTCTTAAGTTTAGTTTCCAGCCTCTTAGGTTTATTATACTTTATGTATTTCTGTGTCTGCTTCATTTTCTGAATGATGTTGCAATATATGTTAATTTCACATTGTAGACTCTTGTTGGCTCTTAGTCCAGAGAACTCCCCTTAGTATTTCTTATATGCTTCCTCCTATTTTCACAAAACCCTAGTTATTATTTATCTGGATATGTCTGATTTCATATTGAATAATTTTGTTGAGTATATAATTCTTGTTTGGCGGTTTTTTTCTGTTCGAGTTATATATATTTGCCTAAAGCCTTCTTGCTTGCATGATTTCTGCTGAGAAATTGGGCCTTAGTCTTCTTGTTTCTCCTTTGTAGATACTAGATACCTCTTCATTTTCTCCAAGCTACTTTCTATATTTTTTCTTTAATTTTGGGAAATTTTATTATGACCTGTCTGGTGTTTTTTCTTTTTGTGTCTGATTCTCACAGACATATTTTCTTGTTTTTCATAGTGTTTGAGAGATTTTCTTCCAGTGATTCCTCTGTCCTTTTTTTAGTCTCTTCTGTTCTGGAATTCCAGTCATATGTAAGTTATTCTTCTTAATGTTATCCCACATAATTCTTATGCTTGCTTTTCTTTCTACTTTTTTCTAGTAGTTCCTCTAACAGATTAATATTGAGGAATTTGTCCTCTGTTTAACTAAATCTGTGTTCCTTTTCTTCAGTTCCACTCTTTTTATCATTTTGTTTCTACAATTTTCATCTTAATACTCAGAATTTCAGTTTGCTATTTTTATATGACTTCTCATTCTCCATTCAATCTTGGAATAGTTTTGAGAGTTTTTTTTTTTTTTTTTAATTCTTTTATGTTGTCTGTGTTTCTCTCAATCTGTTGAAAACACTTCACTCCCATTCTTTTGAATTCCTTATCAGGAAGTTCCAATAACTTTTCTTGCTCTAAAAGGTTTTCTGGTTCTCTATTTTGGTCTTTTTTTTGGTGCCATCTTTTGCCTATAAGAAATTGTTGTAAGCACTGTGGCAATTGGACAATTAAAACAGATATTCGGATGGCGGGGAAGAAGAACAAACTGGGGAGGAGGGTGGAGAGAATGGTGCGGCGATGAAGGAGTGAAAGCCCAGAATCCCTGTGAATGTTCATTGAAACTAATAAAATTTAATAATAATAATAAAAAAAAGAAATTGTTGTATCCTTATCTTTGTATTATTTTATCTTGATATCTCTGCTTAAGCCTTGCCACTTGGGAATTTGCTAATTTGTGGGTTTTGCTTCCTGTCTTCTGGTGGGTCTGATAGAGAATGGAGGTATACGTGCAGTTCTCTATTCATAAAGCAGTTGAGGCAGGGTGGGCTGGTGCCAGGCTTCATTCAGGTGGAGCAGGAGCTGGCTTTTATCCTTGCCAGATGGGTGAAGCTGCAGGAAGTGTATGTGTAGCTACTATTGCTGTCTTTGCTTGTCATCAGACAGCAGCTAACATGTACACAGCTTCAGCCCTGAGTTTCCACCCTGATCCACACACTGTTCAAAAGGATCATATCACACTGTTTATACATCTGTGCTTCCTCAGTCTACATACTCAGTGCTTTCATTTTTTTCCCCTTCAGTCAGTGCTTGCTTTTTTTCCCTTCTCCCTTTTTAAAAAAATCTTTTCATTTTTAACTCAAGATTCCAGAATCATCCTCTATATCTGTTACCTTTCTTTTCTAGTGTCTGGTTGAAAAAGGTTGTGGGCTCCCTTCTGCTTAGTCTGCCATTTTAACTAGAAGAGCATTATTTTATTTAAAAAGAAAAGCTATATAAACCAAAACAACTGCTGCATGGCTCATACAGCTGATGGTTTTATCATCTTCTGAATTTGGGGTCATGAAAATGAAATTTCTTCTTTACGATCTTCTCTTTTTCCTGCACAATGAGGTGTAGCTAGTTCTTTCTTGATCAAACATTAAAAGCCGGTTGTCTAACACAAATAATAAAAATAAAACAAAAACCTTTCGGAAGTAAGTGTCTATAGTAAAAATAATCTTTCTTTGTTGCTACTAGGACTTGCAGTAGACATTTTTGAGCAATTAAGCATCCACTTTTGGGTTCTGATAGTTCTCCTTTTGGAAATGTTATCTTGAGAAGTTAATTCAGAAACATAAGGCTGTACAGATGTATTAAGTAGTTTTATTTGTAGTCTATTTAAAAAGCAAAAATCAAAAGCTAACAAGTCTTCTGAGCACACCACAAAGGAATAATTGCTTTACTTGATGTAAGTACAACTTAAAATTCTGAAAACTTTGTAACATGTCAATCCAAAAGGCAGTTTATAAATTGGTATGTAGGTTCTGAGGGGCAGCATGAAAATCTTTGGTAGACAAAGTCTAGAAGGAGTTATGCCAAAAAGAAATAATCTTCTGGATGGGACTTGGGTGTAACAGTTTTTAATGTTAAAAATATTTAACATTGTTAACGCTGTCTTTTTAATGCAAAAAATAACTGAGTATTCCCCTTTGACTTTCAGTAAGTGATGAAATGTCCAAGGACTGCTTGAGCATCCTGTATAATACCTGTGTCTGTGTAAGTACCCCTGCTCTTGGGCCCAGCTGGGTTTCCATCACATTTGAAATGCCTGAGAAGGGAAGACTCAAATAGGTGTGGCAGACAAGAGTGCTGTCTGCAGAAACTGTGGGACTTGGAGTCATTTTTCCCTGTTCCTGAGAACCCAAACCAACAGATAGGAATTGAGAGAAAATGAAATCTCATAATTGTTAGAAGCCAGACTGTCTTAGCAAGTACTGAACTCCCTAGTTCTAGGAGTTGGAGTTGTTCTGTAGTTGGATTATCCAACTACAAACCAATTACTTATAAAAGAGATTCAAGCGTTACAAAGCTGTCTGGGATCTTTAAGATTACTTTTATCAAAACAACCATGAGATATCATCTCACCCCAGTAAGAATAGCAAAATATAACAGAACAGCAAGCAACAAATGCTGGCGAGGATGTGGAGAAACTGGAACTCTTATTCACTGTTGGTGGGAATGTAAGATGGTGCAACCATTGTGGAAGGCAGTGTGGTGCTTTCTCAAAAAATTGCAAATAGAGATA